CAATATCTCAATAAAGCTTTTTGGAGTTTCAATCTATCTTGTTTGAGTTTGCTTTCACAGTCTTGATACGAATTAGGGTGGAAATAAAAAATATTAAACAAGAGCTAGGTTTGCAAAATCATTTTGGTTAGTTTTTAGATTATAATTTTTTGTGTTATTTTTGACCAATTTCCCTTTGTTTAATTGAAACAAAATTAAACAGAACCATCGAGATCTCATAAAAAAAAGAAAAATCTTCGATCTCATCATCTCCGATTTGGGAGATTTTTTCGATCGTGAACAAAAATCGATTTCTCTTTACTTTCGATCTCACTATCTTCGTTATCTCTTCATCAGTTACCCAGTCTTCTCTACAATTTGTTGTAGCTACAAGTTTTGGAGATTCGTTAATGGCGGTTCATGGATTCAATCGACTTACTCAGTGAGTCAAAGCAAAGGGAGAATCATTTACAAAAAGCCCATCAAGCTGTTCCAAGGTAAAGAAACAAACTACTCAGAATCATTTTCGACTAATTTCGCGTTTTCACTGTCTAACGAGATTGTAGTGTTCTGGGTTTTGTAATTTGCAATAGGAGTGCTGATTTGTTATTGCAATTTCTTATGATTGAGTTTGAAATTTTGATTAATCTAGCTTACGTATATTACGCAGGGATATCGAGAAACTTGGTGTTGGTGTTACCAAAGAGGCGCAGAGTATCTTCGACGCGTTGTCTGATAAGTAAGAATCTATTTGTTCTGATGATTATTTTTGTTCTTCGAATATTGGTTATAGTTTAGGTTAGTTTTTGTGTGAAGAAGATAACAAGAATTTGGATTGATTACAGTTTACTTTGCTTCTGTTTAGGAATTGGTTTTGTGCTTCGTTTCTGGTAGCAATGGGATAAAATGGGGTCTTAAACGAATGTGTGCTTATTTAAGTAACTGTGAATTTATCAGAAATTGCGTGAGTTTAGGGAATATATATCTTCACTCCATGTTCTAATTAGTTAGTTTGATGATTCCATACTCTTTGTATTAGTCACTCAATAGTTTAATAATACAAAGAGTAATGAACTCTTTTGCTTAGTCTTAACAATCTCACTACTTAACTTTTTTGCCTTTGCTTGGTTTTTCAAATTGTCTTTTGTTTTTGCCTTTTATTCAGAATCTGGTGTTTTTGCTTTCCATGAAGTTGTGAAGATTCTAATAAGAATGTTTAGATTATGGGCCAGGATGTTGATGGATAATGAAGAGCACTTCGAAAGGATACGATGCTCTATTTCACTTTTGTTTACCAGATACCAGGAAAGATAATGAAGAGCACTTCAAAAAGATACGTTTATATTGGGATTTAAAGAGAAACGATGCAGAAGAGCAAAAACCATGTTTATTTTTCTTTTTGGCTAGTGTCGTTACCCCAAAACCATGTTTTTTTTTTTTTTGGTTAGTGTCATTAGACCCAAAACCATGTTTACGATGCAAAAGAACAAAAATCTTGTTTAATTTTTTTTTGGGTTAGTGTCGTTAGACCAAAAGATTGTGAAAGAATAATAATGTTCTATTTAATTAGCAAAGATCCAAATATATTTCACAATTAATAACTAATTTACAATTTTATCAAAACGTGAATTTAAAAAAAAAAATTATTAAAACATGTTTTTATAATTTTACACACAAACAA